GTGTCTTCAAATTCTGTGGTGAAAAAGATGTTAAAGTCAGGTTCTGACTCAAATTTTATCAGGCATATGAGTTTTAATTTTTTTTATTTATGTCCGAGTGAGGAATAAACCTTCTTGGACAGCTAAGTTAGTGGATTGGTTAAAAGGTTTAGATCTTTATCATTTTATGTCGCCATTTGAAACCAGATTCAGAAATCCTTATCATAAGGGTGCCATGTACATAATGTGGCCATGGTTTATTGCTAAGCATGCATGTAGATGTTTGTAGTTTTGTGTACAGTATTTCTATTTTGGCTTATAGAGAATGCCGAGGTCAAGATGTAGATTTTGTTAAAATTTCATTCAAGGGTACTTCTTTATAAGCTGGTTAAGGATATTGGTAAATTTTTTTTAAATTTGAGCAGTTAGTGTTAACCTGTACGTGGTTGGATTATGGAATGTCACGGTAAATGCCACCTCCTTTCCATCTTCTTATGATCTGTCACACTTCAAAAAGCTAGTTTTCTGGCATCTTCATAGTGTAGATTAACAAACTCCTTTTTTCCTCTATTTCTTTTTTATTTCCCGGTTGTGGGTCAATGACCTGTACCCAGGTGGGCTTTTCCCCATAAAAAGAAAAAAGAAAACAAATTGTTTGATACTGGTTTGCAAGGGGATCCAGATTAAGTGACTATGGGTTGGAGGGAGTTTACTGTATGTTTATTCCACTCTTTTGAATAATATTGAGAGAGTTTAGGCTGTCTGACACAGCTGGTTGCATTGTCTCCATTATCAGTGTTTGTTTATTTAGGTTTACTGTTTGTTTCTGGGTTGGTGAGAGGCAACTTAATCTGTGTAGTATGGCTATGCAAATATGCTGAAATAATAATACAAAAGAATTACAAAAGATAATACAGTACTGTATGAAAGAAATAACAAAATATTTGAAAAAAAACATCATGTAAACTGAATACAGTCAACCCTCGCTTTACGCGGTCCCACATTCCGCGTTTCCACGTTTACGCGGTACCCTGCCGAAACCAGGATGCTCACATTCCGAGGTGCGTGTACCCCTTTACGCGGAGAGCGGCTGGCGAGCCGCGCCATTTTTGGATCCAAACCTCCCGCCCTCTCCCGCCATCCGCCATGTTGTGTAAGCGGCGCGAGCAGGGTGTGCACAAGGTCGCCCAGTCATCAAAACATTACCGAGTTCTTCACCCGCCACCCACCACAGTCGGCCCAAGTCAGTGAGTGATAATTATAGTGAGGATATGGACTTTGAGGGGTTTGACAAAGAGGCCCTGCAAGCCTCTGTGGTGGATAGTGATACAATTGATACAAGTGATACAGGTGAGGGCCAATAATCTGCCCTCTGCCTCGGAACCAACCCCCCATCCCCGTGTGCCCAGCCATCTTTTCTACTAATGTAAGTGTTAAAAAACCTAATATTATTGATATTTCTCTTAAATATTAATTGTGTGTGCATACCATCATAAAGTTAAGATAAAATTTTTACTACAACATAGTTGTGTGTTGTCAAAAAGTGGAGTTTGGGGGTCGGCCCGGTCTCTATTTCAATTAATCCCATATGTTATGTTGTTCACTTTACGCGTTTCTCACTTTCCGTGGTACCCTGTGGGTTGAATTAACTGCTTAAAGTGAGGGTTGACTGTACCTGTACTGTACTGTACAATCTAAAACTATATAAGTAAAAAATTACCAAATGCATGATACGTACTTGTAAAATAAAATTCCTAATGTTAATAATAACAAATCATGGTATTTTATGTTTATTGTTTGCAGGTAAAAGGCTAAAATCTTTGTATAGTGAGGAAGCGCAGCACCTGAAGGACCTCATGACCCGAACACTCACCCTGGGAGAGAGCAACTCAGCCCTTGTACTTGCTGCAAGGGGCATGGGCAAATCATCTGTGAGTCCTTAGAACTTAGTTAAAAAGTTTACACACACTCTATAAAAAATTAATACAGTGAACCCTCACTTTATGCGGTCAATTGAACCCACGGCGGCCCACGTAAAGTGAGAAACGCTTAAAGTGAACAACATAACATATGGGATTAGTAATTGAAATAGAGACCTGGCCGACCCCCAAACTCCACTTTTTCAGACACAATACCTACGTTGTAGTAAAAATAACTTCTTAATTTTATGATGGTATGCACACACAATTAATAATTAAGGGCACACAGGGATGGGGGGTTGGTTCCGAGGCAGAGGACAGATTATTGGCCCTCACCTGTATCAATTGTATCACTATCCACCACAGAGGCTTGCAGGGCCTTTCTTTCTCAAAGTCATATCACCAATCCTCACTATCATTATCTATCACTTGGAATGTTTTGATGACTGGGCGACCTTGTGCGCACCCTGCTCGCTCCGCTTTCCGCGTAAAAGGGTACACACACCGCGGAAAGTGAGCATTCCGTGTTCGGCAGGGTACCGCGTAAACGTGGAAACGCGTAAAGTGGGACCGCGTAAAGCGAGGGTTGACTGTATATGTTAAGTGTAAAATAGTCCAGTTAGCCTCAGGGTAAATGAATTTAATTTCTTGGTGGACTTACCCTATTCCTTACCAATTTAGTTAGGAAGTGTGATAGATAAAGGAAGTTTTAGTAAAAGGATTTATTCTTTGGGTATGTGATTGATGTAGCACCATTATACCATGTGAATACAGTACAGGGTATTAAGTACGATTAATTTAATTACCATTATTACAGCTGGTAAATACTGTAATAGAGAAGCTGGAGGCTTCAGGCACACTGGGTGAGGGAGTGGTTGTCAGACTGTCGGGACTCCTGCAGACAGATGACAGGCTGGCCCTCAAAGAGATAACCTGCCAGCTGAAACTGGAGAATGCAACTGCTAATAAAGTGTTTGGTTCTTTTGCTGGTTAGTAATGTTATATTATTTAATATATGTGCACTGGTCTGTAGTTAGTGATTTTGTAACTTGCTGACCTTCCTTGGACTCAGCTATTTTTGTGTCCTTGTTCAACACTGAAGTTAATTAGGTTGTTTGATGATCAATATTTCATTTGTTTGCCATAAAGTTGAGGGAATATTGAAAATGCAAGTCCCAATTTTGAAGTATAAGAAGAACAGATTAAAAATAATTATCCTGCTACCAGTCAGGGCATCGTTTTTGGTTGTATGTTTAAAATAACTTGAGAATGGGTTTGTAGATTTTCATAAAATTTGGTAAATTTGGTGGACATGTAACAAGATCCTTATGATAAACTTTGGGTGGAAATGGCATCAAGGTTGACCATTTGTTGCCATGTACATTGTTAACATGTAGGGTTTTCAGGGATTAAAAAAATGATGACATAAGATAGTTTCTTGTGATGACTGCATTAATTTATGGTAACAGCATCACTAGTATTTACCAATTACACTTTTCAAATTATATGATCTCCCACCAATCACATTTCAGGGCACAATTATTCTGCCAAGTTTTAAAATAGATTTGCTAGGCCTCGCCATTTCCTCTAATATGTAATGGAAGCCACACATCCACAACATGGCTAAAGCTGCCTCCCAAAAGTTGGGAATGCTGTACAGATGCCGTAGTTACTTAACTCCTAAGCAGTTGCTTCAAGTTTATAAGGGATTTATTCATCTTAACTTGGAGTACTGCTCTCATATCTGGGGTGGCTCTTCTTCTGTCCAACTGTTAGATAGAGTGGAATCAAAGGCATTTCATCTTATTGACTCTCCTCCTTCAGTTGATAATCCTTCTTCCCTTTCTCTTGGCCACAATGTTGCTTCACTCTCTTTCTTTTACAGGTACTTTAACGGGCATTGTTCGGTAGATTTGGCATCCTGTGTATTGCTGGCAAGGCCGTGGGCTCGTAACACTCGTCTTGCTCGCAGTGCCCACTGTTTCTCTGTGGCTGTCGGTCACACTATAATAACCCATTATAGTATTCCTTCTTTCCTCACACAGCCAAACTGTGGAACGCTCTGCCTTCTTCTGTTTCAATACTCATACAATGTCTCACTTTAAAAAGCTGGTTTTCCGGCATCTTCGTGGTGTAGATTAATATAATCTTTTTCTTTTATATTTCTAATTTCTTTTTACTCTTATTTTTTCGCCCCCAAGGCATTGTGGGTCGATGACCTGCGCCTGGGTGGACTATTCCCCATAAAAAAAAATCAATATTTACCCTGATATGGTAACAGTTTGTGGAATAGATTCACAGCTGCTTGGATGGTCTTTGATTTACAATTGTGGTTAGTTGAAGTGACACCAAGAACTTGTTAATTCTTGGACTGCCATTACAACAAATAATTCCTGGTAATGGATTCTCTCCCCAGAAAATTTAGCCTTTCTTTTGGAATCTCTCCGCTGTGGAAGTAAAGAAACATCCAAACCTGTCATATTTATCTTGGATGAATTTGATCTGTTCTGCCATCATCGCAACCAAACACTTCTGTACAACCTCTTTGATGTTGCCCAGTCTGCACAGGTAGGTAAAACATTTCTAAACAAAAGAAACATACCCACTGTAAGACTTATCCATATTTTGTATTTTTTTTTTTTGTTCAGTGTTAACTAAAGAGAAGCACCATAGCAGGACATATCTGTTGCAGCATTTAGAGATACTAAATGATGGAAGGGTATAAATTTATCCTTGCTTCTGGCAAACCTATTTCATAATATAACAATCTTTATTCACTCACATGATGCATAACTATTGTAGCTGTGTGGCATTGTAAGGGATCATCCAGTTTCAATATAATTTGCAGTCTTTACTAAATTTCCTCTATTAATTACATATGAAGTATTTTTGCTGTGTTCCTATAGAGGGGAGTGGAAGTTACCTATTCATTTTGGGGTCACTGGATTAAATGTCAAGTTATTAAAATTTTACAGTTTTTTCCTTATTTACCAGAGGCATTCTAATAATGTTTTATTTTGTGAGAATTAATTACAAAAATTAAATAAGCCATGCTCCAATATACAGTACATACAGTAGATATATAATCACTGCTCTGTGCATACTTGCTCAAATATGCTTGCAAGTTCTTAAAGCACTGTAAAGTACATCTTTTAGAAAATCAAGGGTCAGAAATATTGAAATTATGATTATCATTTAATAGGGATAAGTGGGACATTTGTCTCTCTTGCCCATTAGTGCCGTGTTCCTCTTTTTATGCTTTGTATGCATCTGTGTTCAAAGAGGTATTACTGTCAGATTTTATCCATTTTTAATTAATATTACTCTATATCATTATGTGAATATATATGAAACTAGATCCTCCAAAATGTATTTGTTATGTGTTGTATACAATGAACGACAAAACTATCTCCCCATTTTTGGGTAAATATACCGCGAAAAACTCGAGCCTTCTAACATGCTCTCTGGGAAACTTTTGAATAGTTAGTGGGTCTGGAGAGGGTGATCCTGAGTTTACAGGTGCATAATTTAACTCAGGTAGGGTAAATACTGTACCTTTGTATTAAGATAGGTAATAAATTGATGGAGAAGGTTTGGCTATAAGGGAGGTTGGAGGCCATAGGAAAAAATCTCTAGTACAGTGGTCCCTCGGTTAACGAGCGCCTCGGTTAACGAGATTTCGGTTAACAAGTTACCTTCCATAAGATTCTTAACTTCGGTTAACGAGCAATCCCTCGATTAACGAGTTTCTTAAGAGCCGACCTCCACATGTTTTCGCTTGCATTTGGCGGTCCCCCAGCTGTAGTATTAGTCCGCCAATACAGTAATCGGTTCTAGGCCTTAAATTCCTTACCCTTTTAGTAAATTTCAAGAAGTTTATACTATTCAATAATTTTAAAAGTTTAGTATTAAATTTTTTAGTCATTTTAACAATTATTGAACATAATTGAAGGTAGGGTCACTAGTTTGTGGCACGCCATCCAGCCTGCCAACACAGCATACAGGCGTCAGTCTTTTGTGTCTTTTCAGTGGAGGTAACATCTTGCTTGAGACTCTCTTCAACTAAATGCTTTTTTTCTGTGTTTGCGAGCAAATTATTGGTCATTTTGAAATTTATTTTACATATTGACAATATATAATGCAGTGCACTGTTGATTTAAAGAAAATAATCTTAAATTACACCAAGAGAACTTAAAATTTTATGGGTGAAATGGCGCCATGGGGTGACTTCTCTTCTACCCCAATGCTTTCTCTTCTCCCTTCTCCTCCACCCCCATTCTAATTCCCATCATCATCATTATCATCCAGGAGCCTTCTACATACACACCTCAAAGTAAGTGTACTTTTCTACCTTTTTTGTTGAATTTAGGCAATTTTCGGTGAGCTGGAACCAATTACCCAAAAACCCATTGAAACAAGGGTTTCGGTTAACGAGTTTTTCGGTTAATGAGCAACCTTCTAGAATGGATTGTGCTCGTTAACCGAGGGACCACTGTAAAACCCCAATAATTCAAAATAATTGGGGCTCTAGCCCTTACAAATAATGAGATTTTACGAAATATGAGGCGAGACCGTCTCCCAAGGGAAAAAATAAAACACTGGGCAATGATGGAAAAACAAGTGGAAAAAGCTTGCGTGGTAGACCGTAGATGTGCACTCCACAACTGACCGACATGCGTGATACATATAGTACTTGTTTACACTGAGGCGGGCAGCTGCATCCCATGGCAACATGTGCATCATATATACAATACAGTATGCAAGTAAATCACTGTAGGTGCGTGTGATCTAGGTATATGCTGATAACCACAAGGAAAGAAGAAAACACGAAGTTCCCAAGCGCTTTCGTGTAATTCACATCTTCAGGGGTGAGTACAGACTAAAGAGAAATACAAACCAAGGTGTATATATACAGAGGAGGGTGAGACCAGGTCCACAATGGTCAGGTATTAGGTAATGACCCTACTAATCTTTAAATAGCACACAACGGTTGGTGGTCAGGTCAGATGGTCAGGTGACCCGACCTTCTCACCTGGTTACAAATCTTCTTAATTACAAAATTGTTCAGCTTGTACATGCCGTTACTCAAATTCATGTTGAATGCTTCGGTATGTTTAATGAGACTAGATTCTATGATGTTCCTACTATCAGTTGAATTACAAGGTAATACTGAGGAGGCATTATCCCAGTCAATGCAATGCTTGTTATCTCTCAAATGAACAACCAGAGCATTGGATTCCTGGCCTGTCCTAACACTATATTTATGTTGTTTAAGTCTAGTTACAAGATCTTTACCTGTCTGGCCTAAGTAAAACATATTACATTCCTTGCAAGGAACTTTATAAATGCAACCAATTGTGTTGTTGGGGGAGTTCTTGGGAACTTCGTGTTTTCTTCTTTCCTTGTAGTTATCAGCATATACAATACAGTATACGTAAATATCCTACAATCCGAAATTTTACCAAATACTGTATAGGGTATTACAAAAATTATATATACAGTATATATATACAGGTATTTATATATATATATATATATATATATATATATATATATATATATATATATATATATATATATATATATATATATATATATATATATATATATATATATATATATATATATATATATATATATATATATATATATATATATATATATATATATATATATATATATATATATATATATATATATATATATATATATATATATATATATACACAGGTTGTACCTCTCTAGTCCGGCAACCTCGGGACCTGACCGGTGCCGAACCATGGAAATTGCCGGACCATGGAAATTCACCCTTTTTCCTGGATAGATAGTGACTTGTGCTTATGCCTGGAAGCACTAGCACCACTTTCTCTTCGTCATGGCCTCTTTGAAGACATATTGAAGGGTTAAATGTCGTATAGTAGCTTCTCAAATTTCGCGAGTTTTTAATTCTTAACGTATTTTATTGGAACACAAAAAAATAAATAAATAAAAATTTTGACGGCGGAAACTTGAATTTCGACGGGTTTGAACGGCCCGCCAACGTGCAGACGACGTGCATAATCGTGTAAACAGCGTCATTTCTCTTATGTACAAAAGATTCATTATTGTTTATTACTGAATGTCTTTTTTATTGAATTAATGTTTATGTGTGCAAAATGAGCAATACAATTCATTAATAATACGTAGAATATTAAAACACACGAGGAAATGACACAGCATTGTTTTCGTTGATTACAAAACCAGTGACTGACTGGTTCTACATATAAAACTGAAGAAAATAAGACCTTGGTTGTAGCTGTAGTAAAATTAATATGGTTGTTTTAAGTAATGTTATTTAATGTTAATAAATGGAACAATAGAAGTAGCTAACGATAATGGTAAAGAAAAAGAGAGATCGCATATGTAAGTGCGCATGCGCACACGTGAAAACATATCGTCATTACTTTACATAAGAATATGAAAGCAACACTTATTTACTGTTCATATATATTTTAATTAATGTTTCTGAATTTGTTTTTATTGAATTAATGTACGTGTGTGCAAAATTAACAATACAACTTATTAATAATACGTGGAATATTAGAGGAGATGAGACGGCTGCCGGCATTGTTTATGTTAAAGCTTACGAAACCAGTGACTGATTGGTTCTACATATACTTTTACTTTTATCCTCTTCGCCACTGATCGGCTTGTTAGCCGCTTGGGCGATCGGTCACGACTCTTTTCCTTTATATTCTTCACCAAAAGGTCGGCTCGCTAGCCGCCCGGGCGATCGGTCACGTCTCTGTCACGCACTGTTGGCAAATACTGGGCATGCACCGGCTCCTGAATGTACCTGAACCCGCTCCAGTGTTGGTCAAGTCTTCTCTTGAAAGAGCTCACACTCGGTGCCGTCACAACACTCTCTGGTAGATTGTTCCAAGAGTTTACAACCCTCACTCCGAAAAAGTTTGCCCTCACGGTTTTCCGGACTTGCGGCTTCTTCAATCTTGAGCTGTGACCCCTTGTGGGGCGAGCGTCCGCCAGCTCCAAGTAAGGACACTCAACTGAGTAGTGCCCCCTGAGATGCTTATAAACCTCAACTAGGTCCCCCCTTGCCCGTCTGTAGTATAAGCTAGGCAAGTTCAGGCGCTCCAATCTCTCAGGGTAGCTGAGATGCCGAAGTGCAGGCACCAGCTTGGTGGCCCTCCTTTGAACATTTTCAACCAACTGACAGTCCCTAGCATATCTCGGGGACCAGATGGGGTGACAGTACTCCAGATGGGGAAGCACTTCACTCCTGAAGATCGTCACGAGGGACGGACCGTCTAGATATCTGAACGACCTTCTTATAAGACCCAATAATTTATTTGCCTGATTTACCTTCTTCTCACAATGGCCCGAGAACTTCAGCTCATTGTCAACATACACACCTAGGTCCTTCTCACACACAGTCTCAACTAGTACATTTTCTTCATCCCGTTGGGACATATGGTACGCCTCCTTACCGTTGGTACGCCCCAGGTGCATCCTCTTACACTTCGTGACATTGAATCTCAGCAGCCATTCCTTCGACCATTCCTGGAGCCCACAGAGGTCCTTCTGCAGCTCTTCACAGTCCGCTTGGTTCTTAATTTCCCGAAATAACTTGGCGTCATCGGCAAACATTTGTATGGAGGAGTGTACAACGTCAGGCATATCATTTATGAAACAAACAAACAACAGCGGGCCCAATACACTACCCTGCGGTACCCCACTTGTTACAGGTACAGATGACGATTTCGTGCCATTAATCACCACACATTGCTTGCGGTCATGTAGAAAGTCTTCTATCCACGCTAGGACATTTCCCCGAATTCCGTACCCTTCCAGTTTGATTTTCAGCCTTTCGTGGGGTACACTGTCGAAAGCCTTGGCAAAATCTAGGTAAATATTGTCGATATTACCACCCCGTTCTAGAATATGGGTCCAAATATCAAATACCTTGAGCAATTGTGTCAAGCAAGAGCGCCCCGGCATAAAACCGTGTTGGCAATCTTTTACAAGGTTGTTTCGTAGTAGATGTTCCATCGCTGCATCTCTGATAATACTCTCAAGTACTTTACATATTATGCTGGTCAGGCTCACCGGTCTACAGTTGTTCGTGGAGTGACTATCGCCCTTCTTGAAGATAGGACTCACATAAGCCACTTTCCATTCACTGGGGACCATTTGTTCATCCAGGCATTTACAAAACAGAATCTTCAGGGGCTCTGCAAGCTCGTTGCACAGCTCCCTTAGCACTCTAGGATGCACCATGTCAGGTCCAGGACTCTTATGGACCTTTAGCCTGGACAGTTTATTTCTAATACCCTCTTCTGTGAACACAATGTGGGTCAGTGCTGTGTCGAACCGTCTGTCCTCAAACGCAGGAAGGTTAGTTGCATCCTCTCTTGTGAACACTGAGGAAAAGAAGCTGTTCAATGCCTCAGCTTTATCCTGGTCAGAATCTGCGTAACTACCATCTTCAAGCCTCAGGTCTAATACTCCTACTCGCGTTTTCAATTTCGACTTTGCATAGCAGTAAAACGCCTTTGGGTTTGACTTGACCTCGCGTGCAACCAGCCTTTGGAACTCCTTTTCAGCCCTCCTACACTCTATCTTTGCTTGGTTTCTGGCTCTTGCATACATCCTCCTGTCTTGCTCATC